TATTGCCTCTTAGGGTACACTATGGGGATTCCTTTGGGCCTCTCATGGAAACACACATTCTCTTATTTGAAAAATAATAACGAGGGTTTCCTTTTACATTCATTGCTTCAATTATAACCAGAATAGTTACTCATATTTCAATTTTTGTATTATAGAGTCTCCAAACTCAGAGGAAGAACATGATACACACTTGGATAGCAACATGTAAGAAACTGAGATAAGAGATGGACAATGATATGAGCATAGGAGCATGTATGCTTTGTGCATTCCTCCACAAGCACTGTGATCTTCCAGGACTCAATTATTAGATACATACAGTGAGTGTAACTCAGTAGTGCAAGACTGTCACACTGTGAAAAATTGCATGTATTTTTAATTGGCATTTTGACTATTGCTTTAGTCCGGTAGGACTGCTATAACAAAAATACCATAAATGAGGGTGCTTATAAGCAACAGTTCTGTGGGTCAGGAAGTCCAAGAGTATGCACCAGCAGATTCAGTGTCTGAGGAAGGCCTACCTCCTGGCCCATAGAGTGGCACCTTCCTACTAAGTTCTCACATGCTGGAGGGAACATGGCAGCTCTCTAGGGTCCCTTTGTAAGGACACTACGCTCATTAATATGAGCTCTGGTCTAATCACCTCCCCCAGATCCCACTTCCTAATTCCAAGAGGGCAAAATTTGTTATGTGAAAGATAGCATAAAAATCTTAATTTTTTCTTTTATTCTTATTCTTTCTGTTTCCTCCACCTGATTAATTTTCACAATGCTGGTAAACTTATTAATTTTGGCATCATCTTTATATATATATATATATATATATGTATGTTTATACATATATATGTGTGCATGTATATATATACATATGTGTATGTATGTATGTGTGTGTGAATATATACACACACTATATATATATATACACATACACTATATATATATACACACATAAATATATATATATACACACTTATATATACCTATATACACACACACATACATATAAATCTCTTTACTATTTCTTACATAGAAACAGCATTTTATGAACACTGTTCTGCATATTTTTAGCTTAAAAATGTATTTGAAAATCACACCATATTACTATATTGATGTGCTTTTCATCTGCTGTTTAGTGGCATTGTACTTCACTGGGTAAAATCTAAATTAATATATTTTTTTCCACATTCCTTGTCAATCAACACTTCAATTTCTGTTATAAATAATGCTGCTATGAATATCCTTGCTCAAAGGTCATTTGTATTTAGCTGATGATATAGATTTCAAGTGGTCCAAAAGACAAATGAATATGTACACTTATTTGTGAATGCACGACTCTGACTCCACAGAATAAAGTTAAAATTTTAAGTGCTACTAAATTGTGCCATTGGATATGAATCGTCTTGTGATCCTGTTTCCCACTTCAGGGTAAATGAAGTCAAAATATTTACTTAAAGAAGAAACCAAATTTTTTGGGAGACTACAATGACTGAAAATATATAAAATTATATATATATATATTTAGGAAGAGCTAAAAGAGTCAATAGTGGCCAATGACAGAGAAACAAGCTTATCTTTTGATGTGCAAATGAAAATCCAAGATGTAATTATCAGATAGTGTATAATCCAATGTTGGCTTATATGGTGTACCCTGGAGGTGTTATTGACATTCGTAAATTATATCTGAGACATGCCAAGACTAAACTGGCCCTAGGCTGAGGCTTAAAGAAAATGCTACATTTGGATTTTGAAGGAAAAAATCTGAGAAAGAAAACCAGTCCAGACACAGAGTGAATATGCTGTAAGAGGGATAGGTGTGGTGACCCTCACTATTAGACATTCCCAAAGGGATGAGTTGAAGCACAGAGGCCTGCCTAAACCCAGGAGGTGATGCTAACTGAAAAAGGACCATAAAAGTCACATTTAGAAAGTTATGTGAGTTTCAAATGCTCCATTAAACTACTAACCTGTGCACTATGCTTCTATACCTAGTGCCTGGCCAAGGGTTTGGTAGGTACTAAGAAATGCTTGTTAAATGAATATTAGGAGTTCTACAGAAAGATATCCCTTTGAGCACAGATTTTACCTTCACTCTTCCAAAATTCCCTCTAAGACTAAAGGGACAGAATTTAAAAAAAACAAAAACATACCAATTAAACAAAACTTATAAGGAAAAAAGAGAAGATATAGCAACAAGTTTTTAATAAGAAGCTTCTTAAGAAAGCTTTTTTTTTTTTTAAACCAGTCAATACTAGTAGGAAGAGCTAAAAGAGTCAGTAGTGGCCAATGACCGAGAAACAAGAAATACTGGGTTATACCCCAAATAGAAACACAACATTTTCAGAAGTTGACAACACATTTGCCTCTACAAGTGAAAATAATGGTGTTCTTTAAAGGAAAAAGATTTGTCATGGTCTTTTTAAAATCGAACTGCAAAATCCTTCTTATTCTCAATATTGGAGTTAGCCAGTACCTTTGGAAATGGTAGAACAGAGGATCTGGGGAATCAATAGGTCACCAAACTGGAGGATAGAAATATCACTTTGACCACAGGGAGTTTAAGTAAATGTTTACATCAGAATGGGGAAAACTACACCTTCTCTGCTGCTCAGCCCCTTCTCCAAGGACTCAAATCAGACTAAAAGGTCAAAGTAACTCTCACTAGTAGACTTTCCTAGGAAAATGCCTGGCCAGAGACTGCTCAATGCATGCAGTTCAAGTTCTAAACTGAAACCTACTAGTTCAGAGTTTTCATAAAGGTTTTTACTCTTCAAGTCTTAAATATAAATAGCCAGGGATTAGCAGACATCCGAACAAAGTCTGCAACATGAAAGCAACCTAAAAAATCATGAGTTATAGTGTACTTGACAGAAACAGACTCTTCCAGGGGAAAATAACTTCAAAATAATAATCTTCATAGGAATAAAAGAAAAATAAGATCTAATTTTTAAAAAGAACATTAAAAGAATTTTTTAAAAAGCTCTCATAAAGATATTAGAGGAAAAAAGGTGAAAATTGCCATTGAAGACTGGGAAACTAAAATTAGAAGAACTCATGTGAAATTAGATATGAACATGGAAAACAGAGAAAAAGACTATTTGAAGACTAGATTGAAAGGTTCAATAACCATCCAAACAAAGGAAATTCAGATAGAGAAAATGAAAGGGAGGAAATCATCAAAAACTAATTCACAAGAATGTTCTAGGAATAAATGACTACTAAGCCACCTAGACTAAGAAGACTCATTAAGAGACCAGCAGAGTCGTTGAAAATAAAGACTCACTGAAAGCCCTCACCAAGCAAATCATGACATTTCATTTGAGGACAAAATGAAGACTGTAAGAGACAGGAACAAGGGAGAAAACTCTACACACAAAGGTCCTAAGTAAGATCAATTCCTGACTTCTCAACAGCATGAGGGCTGAACAGCAGGGAGAGATGTCCAACACACTCTGGAGGGACACAGTCTCCAACTATGTCAGGAGGTTCACAAGACCACCCTGCCAGGCTTGGTGATCTACTAGGAGAACTCAGAAGATGCAGCACATATTTGTATCACTGTTGTGGTTTATAATAGGAAAAAGACAAAGCAAGATGAGAGGAGAGAAAGGCACATGGAGTGAAGTCCTGAGCATACCAAGTTCAAACTTGCAAGAGTTACCTCCCAGTGGAATCGTTGATGGCATGCTTCACCCCTCAGCGAAAAGCCTTGACGTCAGAATGAGATATTACCTACCAGAGCCACTCACTAAAGATGTGCTGCCCAAGTTTTTGTTTGTAAATTGGGGACCCTCAGCATAGCATGTATCAAAATTCCAGATTCCCAAAAGGAAAAACAGGTGTTTTGCATAAACTGTATTGTTTGCACAAACATCTTAAGCATAGTAAAGTACCCTTATCATTCAAGAAACATTTATGTCAGAGGAGGGGAACTGTTTACAATCCAAGTTCTCAGTCAACAGCCAAGGTACAACCCTTGTAAGTGGGCCCTGGTAAAGAGCAGTGTTATCAGGCTTGCTATGTTAACTCTTTTCCATACACCAACTTGTGTATGGTTCATCAGTCCAACTGTCAATCAAACGTGAACATAAAATAATGATATTTTCAGATATCCAAGACCTCAAAAATTTTACATTCTACCCATTCTTTCTCTGGAAAGTACTAAAGAATGTATCTCACCCACATAATGGAGCAAATCAAGAAGTAGGAAAACGGGAAAGCAGGAAACAGAAATTCATATAGAAGAAATGCAATGAAATGCAAATCCAATGAAATTCAATGAAATGTGATCAAAGAAGATCCAGAGGACAGCCAGTTCAGAAAGGAGAAATTTCTTTAAAAGTAACACTTGTCAGGATAATTGCTGGACTGAGGAGATGAATATTTAGACATCTGGCAGGGTGGTGGTTGGTGTTCAAATATTAATACATTTATAGAAAAGTAGGAAAACAAAAATCAAGATGATTATTAACTTTAGGGGATACAAAAAGTTGGGCTGGACAGAAAAAAAAATCACAAAAATACAGTTAAATAGAAATATGCACAGTACATTTTCCAATGTATATATCATGCCAGTATTTGTGATTTTCTTAAGAGAATAAACACACAGACACACATGTATACATGCATAGAGCTTCTCTGGAAAATTAGTTGAGAATGCTTCTCAAACAGGCACAGTGGCACATGCCTACAGTCCCCGCTACTCAGGAGACTGAGGCAGGAGGATTGCTGAGCTCAAAAGTTCAAGACCACCTGGAGAACATAGCCAGGCTCCATCTCAGAAAAATATATTTTTTTAAATGTAAATAAGAATGAATATTTGTCTCCTGGAAGAGAAACTGAGGAAATACAGGGACGTTAACCCTTAACTTTATACTCAATTCCTATTTGAATTTTTTTCCATGTACATTATGACTTTTTTCAAACCATCAAGCAAATCAAGTAAGCTCTCAAAACCAAAAACAAACATAAAAGAGAAGCAGCAAATAGAGTAGCAAGCCCTCTCACCAGATGAGAATTTCCCTTGGCATTCATGACACCTCCAACTTTCTATTCTCAGTAAGGAACCAGAAGAGAGTCTATTCACCTAGAGAGAAGAAAAGCTTAATTAGTTCTTGTTTCCCTTTAACAAGAAATGTCCCTTAGACATTTCTTTAATAAGAAATGTCTAAGATAAAGCAAGTAGTTTTCATTTGTCAACAAAAATCCTGTACTTTGAAAATGTTAGTGGTTCTTCCTTTGTCTTTCTAGAGGCATTTGGAAAAAATTATCTGTGCTCATTAATGAAAAATGTGGTATTTCACTTTGAATCAAAATTTCAGATACTTATTGATGAACATGTATCTTTTAAAATTGTTTAAATGAGCTGGGCACGGTGGTGCATACCCATAATTCCAGAAACTTGAGAGGCTGAGGCAGGAGGATCACAAGTTCAAGGCCAGACTGGACAACTTAGTGAGACCCTATCTCAAAATAAAATATAAAATGGATTGATATGGCTCGGCGATAGAGCACTTCTGGGCTCAATCCCCAGTACTGCCCCAAATAAACCATTTAAATGTTTCCATCAAATAACATGGTTGAAGAAAACTAGACCATGAGTAAATTCAGGCTTTTTCACTAACAAGCTTTGGACTTTTGTTACCAATTCTTTCTGGACTTAGTTACCTCATCTGGAAAACAATAAGCAAAACATGGAAATGACTGTATTGGCTCTAATGGTAGCTCACATTTCTTAAGGACTTCTCACTTTAAAGTGAGCCTTATATCTCTCATTTCGTTCTCAGTCATGCTGAGACAGGCAAGATAGCTGTCATTGTGTGTGGTGCTTAAAGAGAAATTGTGTGTCACTGAAATTGTACATCTTGATCATGTTAATCCCACTGCTCAATAATGAAGAAGAGCTGGAATCCAAATCTTCTGAGGCCAACCCCGGGCTCCCTCTATTTTCTTGCCGCCGCCTACTGCCATTGTCACTAAATCATTTGACTCAGATAGTACAACGTGCATGACAGCAGAAGAGGAGGACAAGACATCATGCAGTAAAATACCATTACTATTTTTTACAGCCCTATTCTAATGGAGTAATTTAACACACCACTAATCAGTAAACAAAATGGAATGCCTTACCTTATCTGCCTCATGAAAATGCTGTAAATATAATTAAGCATTTTTTTAATCTATCAAGCATTAGAGCTCCTCGGAGATTACAAAAAAAAAAAAATACCTACATTCAAAATGCAGATAAAGGCAAAAGTGCCCATAAATTACACTGTGGTAAGTGCAGCCCAACAGCTGAAAGCCTCAATCTGGCTTCTCCATCCTCATTCCTGCTAACACAGGAACTTCCCTAATCTCTCCCCACATCCTGCCATACACCTCACCAGACTTTTCTCCTTTATATGCATGAAAAGTAGCAAGAAGAACAGATGTTTGGAAGGTTTTTAATCTACATTGTTGCTTCAAGGTTTTGATGCATGAATCTTGAGACTGCTAGGGATAAACGAGGAGGAGAAAGAGCAATTGATATCCAGATCAAGCAGAATTACAGCAAGTAACTGGGGGAACAAGTAACTCATCTATCCTAACAGAGTGGACATGCTGCTCTGCAGGTGTCCCATCTGGAAAGTCATGAGAGGTTAAACTGACAAGTTTGAGACCTGGAGGATTTTATATCAAGTTCTATAATGAGTTTGAATCTCTAAGGGTTACAGAGTACTATCAGATCTTCTCCACAAAGGAAGAAAGGAAGCAAAGGAGCTTCTGTTGATGGTAATAAATAATGAACAGAAAATGATAGAGCCACCCCAGCCAAGATGTTGGAGGATGTAAAATTAGACATCAAGTTTTTAAGGTGGATTGAGGAAAGTTTTCAATAACACAGATAGTACAGGTATTTGGGGACCAAAAGACACAGGGAAGAACCTAAAAACAGCTTCCACAAATAAGGAGTGCCAAAGTTCTCTTTAAGAAGTTGTAAGTACCCAGGCTCGGTGGTGCATGCCTGCAATCCCCATGACTCAGGAGGCTGAGCCAGGAGGACTGCAAGTTCAAGATGAGCATCAGCAACTTAGCAAGACCCTGTTTCAAAAAATAATAAAAAAGGGATGGAGATGTCTTTCCATCACTGAGGTCCCCTGGGTTCAATCCCTGGTACCAAAATAAAGTACTGCAACCATCACAACATCACAACAGCCAATGAAGGGGAAACACTAAAGACATGGCTTCACTGTCCTCATTCTTATTTTCACTCATCAAACAGTGTGTGGAGAGAGAGGGCAAGCCAGGATCCTCACTTGTCCTGCCATGTTCCCTATTCTATCAGGAAGAGATTTAAGAATCAAAGTAAAGGGAATTTAACTGACACTTTGCATTCTAACTATAATCTGAGGACACTCAAGTGGCTGTATATTTACTGGAATACTCACAGTATCTTGAGCATGATTATCACTGGAGTGATAATCTACATGTTTCAGGAGATTATCCTGAAGAGATTTGGCTGTGAAAAGGATCATGCTGGAAGCCTGTTAAAGTTCATATTCCATAGATCGGAGGTAGGTAGATTTTAGGAATCTACAAAGTAACAATTTCCCAGAAGATTACACCTCCACCTTAAGAAACTCTATCCTGCAGAGTGAGGGTATAGAATACATAATTTGTTGCAGATTTAAGCTTAAGGTATTATTCACTGTCTATAGTTTGAATTTAAAAGGCAACAAATATTATAATATTTTAATTATAAAATTATAAAACTAATTTATAAATAATAAATTTATAAGTTATAAAACTTTTGCCCAAAAGTTTTCTTCTGCGCATTCAAGCCCCTCCTTTTTATGAGCTGTAATTACAAATGTGGACTGAGTAACTCATGAATAAGCAAGAAGGCTGAGTAACTTCCATGTATCTGGTTCTTTGAAGGGCTCCAGAGAAACAAAGACTGGAACGATTTGTCTTTGCCCTCAAGAAACTCAAAGCCAAGCAGTATAAGGTGCCTGTCAGTAGTGGATTTCCTCAGGTGATAATTGTCATGGACCAAAATGATTTAGGAGAGCAAAGGGGAAAAATCATTAGTTGTGCCTATGGAATCCACAGAATGTTCATAGAGGAAGTGATGTTGAGCAAGGTTTGAGAAAGAATCCTGCCAAGCAAAGAAATACAGGATAATTTTATGTGCCTAGCACTGTGTGGAGTGCCTGCTAGACATACTCTCATTAATTTTTACAATATCCCTTGAAGTTAAGTAATCTTATTTTACAATTTTTACAATTTTATAGGAATGGAAATTGTAGTCATAAAGATTCCATGACATGCTCCAGGTTTATGCATTGTCGTAAGTGGCTAAGTGTCACACCCAGGTTGTGAGAATCCAGAGTCTGCAGGCTGAGCTAATCTGTACTGTCCCGTCATAGACAAAGGGAACATCATGGAGAAGTGCTCAAAGTAAGGGAACTACCTCCCTGTTCAGGGAATCAAACAGAAACATAGCCCAGAACAGAACACATGTGGGAAAGAAACTTAAGACCAGAAACACACGTCTGGCCTTGGTTCTACAAGATACATTAAAAAATTGTCTCAGAGCTTTACACTGTGAGTGTGCTTATATTTGCAGGAGTCAATATAGTAATCCATTCAAGGAAGCAAAAACTATCATAGTCAATCTTCATTATTCACAGATTGCATATTTGTGAATTTACCCACTCGTTAAAATGTATTCCTAACCCTCAATTCTCTAGGCATCTTCACAATCATTTGTGAGCATGCACTTGTGTCGAGTCCCTAATATAGAAGTCCCCAGTGGATGTCAAACAAGCCCGTGCTCTGCCTTCTTCGTTCAGCTCTCATACTATAAGCAAGTGTGGTATTCACAGATTATTTAGGTGCAGTATTTTACATCTGTGTTCCTTTTATTTATTTTCTGTTTAAAATGACCTCCAAGCATCATGGTGTTGCAATGATGTCTAATGATCTTCAGAGCAAGAAGCCTGTAAGTTGCTTCATGGAGAAAATACATGTGTTAGAGAAGCTTTGTTCACACATAGGTATAGTAGTCTTAGTCATGAGTTCAGTGTTAAATGAAAGAGGTGTCTTTACATAAAAACACATATAAACCAAGGTTATAAGTTTCTTGGCTAACGCACAAAAAAAATGTTCTGATCAGAAGTTTGTAGGAACCTATCCTGTGTTTCCCCTAAAGATCATGTTTCAATAGTTAGTAATTCAGTGTTGGTCACCTTGTGTACACAGAACAGAACTGCCACAAATAGTAAGAATTGAGTGCACTTCAATTTTCAAAAGTGAAATGATAATGACCTCTTTAATATATTGAGCACTTGCTCAGATACCATGTTGAATACCTTCCTTATGCATATTTACAACTTTGGCAACAATATGAGGAAGGTATTATTATTACTATTTTGTAGAGAAGGTAAGACTCAGATCAATTACTAATCCTTCTCAGGATTATATAGCTAATTAAGTGACAGCCAGGACTAGTAACCAGCCCTGACTTCAAAGCCTAGATGATTGTGTGAGTACCTCTTCTAACCTAATCGCAGAATTAAAGAAGCCCACACATTTACAAGTTCCCATTCCATCATAACATGTTTCTGTAATAGAAGTCATCTTGGATAAGAATGTAATTTCTTGGATCATTGTTCTTACTTTCATCACCTTTTTGCATACTGGTGAGTTAGTCCTTTGACTTGAACGCCTGTATTATTTAGATCCTAAAAGGTGAATCTTTAGAACAGTTTCTTCAGTTCTAGAATTTCAAGTGCTTCAGACAAGGGAAGTACTTGCAATTAAAAAAAAAAAATCTTGTCATTTTTACAGCTTCCTATAAACCCCAAATTATTTTAAAAGCAAAGAAATTTCATTGAATGGCCTTAAAAGTTCCTTTCAAACCTGAAATTCCTGATCTTGCTTTATGTTGGTACTTAGCACAAAGTGATGTATTTGAATAAATAAACCTCAGAGGACACGATGTGTGATGGTCATCCAACAATTTTGTCCAGATAATGATATTCCATGAAATCTGGAACAATTTGAAGACATTGTTCCCACTTTACATAGACACTAGGGACATTT